GCATTTAATTATATATATTTTTTCACCTGGGTTTCCCTATTTATTTTTTGACTTGTACAATTACAATTTCTGAGGATTCCTGTCCGATAAAGGCTTTACGACCGCAGAATGCGCTAAATCCCGTCCAATGTTTTGAGGCTGTTTACACCTGCTCACTTCATTCATGTTATTCTGATATAATATTAATCCGACACACTCCAGACGACACTGGACAGGTCTAATTAGTGTATTTTTTTTACACAAAATTAATTGAAACGTAATAAATGATGACCTGGAGAAAATCTGACCTGCGCCATAGAGAAACACCAGATGCGCTTTTACAGCCAAACACACATACAAAATAAATAAATCCATATTTACTATAAGCATAAAACTTGTGTTCCGACTTTCCTTCATCTGCCAAAAAAAGTCAACTAGTCATGTTCAACTACACGATCTTTAGACTAATATGAAACATTTTGTCTTAATTAATTTCGTTAAGTATTTATTTCATTTTTCTTTCACTTTATTCGTTTTATTTTTTATTACACTAAAATGATCAAATTAAAATGTTCAATTAATATCAAATGGCAGCTTTACACTACAGAGATGCAGCATGCTACTAGTCCTGTGAAAAGAGAAGATTTTTGGGGTTAGTATGCTATAAAAAATAATTGACCATAATGGCAGTAATCTCAAAGCGTGCCTTGTTCTGAGTGAAGCACAACGCATCCTGTATTTGTTTTAATTGTTTAACACAAATCGAGAAATAAAAACGTGTCCAGCACCAAAAGCCTCCATAAATCAATACGTTTTAAATAGTTTTATATAATAAGTAAAATCCACTGATAATGATAATATTTTAGCGATAACATTTTAGCTCAAAGATGATTGTCATAATCAGTGAATTTTACTAATTTACAAGAGAGCCATAAAAAGGGAATTAAGGACATTATTATAATTATTACTGTTGTTATTGTTTTATTATACAGATGGCCAATGTCTGACTAGTGAGGTTACTTGTGCCTGCCAGTTTGTTATTTGTCCAATAAATCATAAAACATTTTTCTTTCTCTTGTGGACTGATAATTTATGGACTATTTTAGCCCAACCCTTCATATTTCTAATTCAATCTTTTATATTTAAAAAAAACATGTCCACTTATTGACTGTGATATAAACTTTAATACATGTTTGTAAATACCTTGATAAATACATTTACATGTTTGTATGCTTTATTGGTAAAATATAATGAATGTAACCTCTGGTGCTGCTCACGCAGCTGCAGTTTATACTGATATTTCTGATAGCAGTTTAATAATAATTGCTAAAGCTTTCATCACGGTATATGTCACTTTATCTGCTATGAATTTAGTATCTGACAAAAACAGCAACTGAGTGGTAGGGCGCAACAAACTTGGCCGACCAGAGCGCCAACTTGTATCACCCCGCGCACCTCACCTTACTGATGACGAATAAATAGAACGAGAAGAATTCCATGACGTCACAGCCGACAGAATTCCTCAGAGTGACAAACGATCGAGTACAGTGAACAGTGATTTAATGACTTTAGCGACTTGTTTTGCATCTCAAACAGCAAATATTATGTCAACTGTGTTTTTTACTCGAGAAAATTTGATCAAGCCTGTATTTGACAACAATAATCATCAGAGTGACACGATGGCTTCTCCTACAACTTCTACCATGATGAGAAGCCCAACAGGTGAGATGAGAGTTTACAAAAACGGTGTATTCCCACCTATTATTTAATAAAAACTATAATAATAATAATATATCGCCATATAACCTGACTTGCCGACGTAAGACGTAAATATTCAACCTCTTGTGATTGTAATTGTTTCGTGTAGTTATGATATTGTGTATTTTCTGACTTTGTGATTGAGGCCTGCTGTCTGTCATTTTATGTATTGACATTCTGGCTTTAAGTTTCTCCTTTCCACTCAACTGAAATTGTGCCTTGTTAATGTTACTGATAAAAAAACATTCTAATATTACTTTAATTTAAACTCTATGTGTAGACCTGCACAGTAATTTTCCTAGTTTTTGATGATGTGGAAGAATATTTGAGCAAACTGAGTGAGAATGTTATATTTAAGTCTTTCATTTGTTTAAGCAGGGATAAATTAATTCAATTGAGGTAAAGTTGGTTTTATATTCACACATTCTGACTTTCTGCTTAAAATATAACAGAAATATTGTTTCAAATCGTAAATGGGGAAATCATCATAACACCCAATGACTATCATAGTACAACATTGTTTACAGTCAATTAAATAGTGCTTATGCGGATTTGAAGTCTTACTAACATGCTATTTCAGACCCAATATTCAAATTGGCATGGTAGCAACATAGAGACCGGTAAATGAACAAATGTGCTAATATATTGTTAAATAGCTCAAACTATAACTATAATAAAATATTCTATAACTCAGAATATTGACTCAAAAATGAGTCTTACTGACTAACTCACTATTTATCAGGTTGTATTTGTCATTTTACATCATAGACATGATTTGCTATTTCACATAATTAAACATTTTCTATTATAATTGTACATTTATTCTTGATGTTTGTTTTGTGTGATTGTCTTTTATATGTCTAATTTTCAGCAGTTTGTCTATGGTAAACCTGTGGTTAAAGAGTTTTCTAATACTTCCCTGTTCATTTCCTTTACTTTAGAAAACCCAGAGAAAGGGAGGAAAGGGAAAAGAGTCTCTGCTTTCTTTAAGAGAGTATGGAAGGCTGCAAAGCGCCCTTTCCTTAGCTGTGACCGGAGCAGAGTGGTTCCCTTTGAACCACAGTCGGATGTCAATGATTTCGAGCATCTGCCTGTTCCAGGTCCCTCCAGGACCGTCACGGCACATGCAGACCCTGAGCCGGTGTGGCTGCCAGGCCAGGTCTGTGAAGAACCTCAGCCGTTGAGTGTTCCGGGCCCCTACAGAATCAAGCAAACAGCAGAAGTGCCAAATGCAGATCGGGCCCGTCCTGAGTCCTCAACGGCCCTCACAGGTCATGTTGACACTGAGCAGATGCATCCGCCAGTCCAGGACTGCGACAGTCTTGAGTCGTTGGCTGTTCCAGGAACATCCAGGATCAAGTCAACGACCATCGCAGATCATGTTGACCCTGAGCAGATGCGTCCGCCAGTCCAGGTCTGTGAAGAACCTCAGCCGTTGAGTGTTCCGGGCCCCTCCAGGATCAAGCAATCAGCAGATTCGGCCCAACCTGAGTCCTCAACGGCCCTCACAGGTCATGTTGACACTGAGCTGGTGTGTCTGCCAGGCACCATCAGTGTCCATGGCCCCTCCAATACTAAGAAAATGACGGATGCAGATTCGGACTGTCCTGAGTTGCCTCTGTCTGTTCAAGACCCCTCTAAAATTGATGGGACTGAAGGTGAGTCATCCTGAATTTGGTTCATTTTATTTCTGCCATCTGTTATTTTTACTCTTTGTTGTTTTTAGTTTATAAATCGGACAGTGTCATTTGTTGTACTGTTGGTGTGTATTAATTATTACTGTGCTAAACATATATGAGTACACCCCCACAAATCTCTCATTTAAATTCATATTTTCTATAGGATGCTTTACAATATTATATTTGTGCATGTACATTAGATTAGTCAGTACTGAAGCCAAATCTGGAGCTTATCTAACAAAATCACTTACAATAATGGTTCAAAAATTAGTAGTCCAAATTTATATATTAGGGGAAAATATTAAAGTTAATTTTCAAAAGTAGCAAAAATCAAAGAGAAGCAAAAATATAGATAATTTTGTTGAAATGTTTTAGTTTGTAATTTGTTTTTTTTTTGTTTTGCACAGATTTAATTGTATTATCTTTCCATTTCTAAAAAAGTTCTGTGACTAAAATATTATTTTAATAAATAAATCTGTTTAATAAATTTGTTTTGTTCAAATGCACTGATGTATATATTACCCATATTCACTGAGAAATGGATAAAAGTATTAATCTTTAAAATGGGGGGTACAGCATATATGAATATTCTGAGCACTGTAGCTGCAGCTCTGTTCATGGAGATGTTTCTGTTTGTTGTCTTCATTTTAGAAAAACCCAGGAAAGGAAGGAAATGGAAAAGAGTCTCTGCTTTCTTTAAGAGAGTATGGAAGGCTGCAAAGCGTCCTTTCCTGTGCTGCGACACAGATGAAGTCCAGCATTTTACGCCACAGCCTGAGCCAGAGCCCGAGCCCGAGCCCGAGCTTGAGTCAGACCCAGATCTTGACTCAGTATGTCTGCCAGGCCTGGGTGGTAAGTCATCATTCTGTAATTCATAATTAATATAAATTAGTAATCAGTTTACTCCTGCAATTCTGATAGAAGTTGCTGCTTTTAGATCATTGCATTAGATCCAGATTTAAAGGACAGGAGTCATTTATTTGATCCGATTCATACCAGACAATCCCAGTAATTCTCTCTGCTTTTTTCTGTTTTTCAGAATTTGAGATGTCTCAGTATGAAGTCGAATACCAAATTGGAGAAGGATTTTTTGGCGAGGTGTATGTGGCATCTCACAAACGCAGTAACAGAGTAAAGGTAGAGAATTTTTTTAATTTAGTCAACATTTTCCTGATTATTAAATATATATAATTTGTTGGCTTTAATTTAATTTGTTGTTGTTGTTTTTCTGCAGGTTGCCCTGAAGGTTTTGGTGATGAGTCAAGAGGACCGTTATCTGGATGTTGTAAGTTGAATAATTCACACAACAATGAAAATGTGCTGAGCATTTACTCATCCTTCACTTGTCCCGTACCAGTCTGGACCACTTTAAACTGAACTCAAAAGCAGATATGTTGAACACAGGTAGCCACTGACTTCTATTGTAGAAAAAAAATACTTTTGAAGTCAATGCTTACTGGTTTTCAACATTCTTCAAAATATCTTCTTTTGTGTTCAGCAGAGTTCAGCAAGTTTTGAACACATGAATGTCTGACTGTGGAATTAATTAAAATTCATTTAACACTAATGGAGAAATCTGTTTTCTTTCTAGGATGGTCATTCCACACCTGTGCTTGCGGAAGTGGCAATGATGCTTAGGTTGATGAATGCACCGCGATGTCCAAACATCATCAGATTACACGACTGGATTGAGATTGGGAACAACTTTGTTCTCATTCTGGAGTATGCAGAGTCATGCCAGACCTTGCATGAGTACATCAAAGATACAGGGGAAGTTGAAGAAAATCAAGCACGCCGGTTAATACGTCAGTTGATCCGAGCTGTAATGTTCTGCACTGAGCGTGGAGTTTTCCATGGTGATATACACACGGCGAACATCCTGGTGACTCTACCCCGACTAGAGCTCAAACTGATAGACTTCGGGTGTGCTCAGCCAATTACCCAAGAGCCTTTCAACAAAAGTGACTATCGAGGTGAGTTGGCATTTTGTGTTAGTTTCTTTGGTCACAGTATTGTCTTATGAAATGACTGAATTCTGGAAATGTCTCTCTTACAGGAGCTGGACAAAGCATGCCACCTGAGGCTTTGATGTGTCGTGTATTCCATGCTAACCCGGCATACGTCTGGACAATAGGCATCATGCTGTATGAAATAATGCATGGACGACTGGCCTTTAATAACACACATTCAATAGTGTTTGGCTCCATTCATATAAACACCAGATTATCTACAGGTAAGCAGACACCTCTGAACAATCTCAGCCTCAGTGACAGAATAAAACATGTCAGTCATAAGTAAACTGGATTAAATATAATGCTTACAGGACCTGTAGATATTAGTCACTTAATTGTGGATGTTTTGTAACATTTGATGTTGTAAGATTTAAAGACGTTCATGAATCTTGAGTATGCAGACATATTTCACACTCTCTGTGACACTTTTCAGCATGCGTGGACCTGATTTCCCAGTGTTTGATCCGTAATCCAGCTAAACGGCTACAGTTACACCAGGTAGAAGAGCACTGCTGGTTCAATCCAACGACCCCAAATCCTGTGAAGCAGTTATACAAGAGGAGGTAGAGGAACACAGCGAGTTTTATTTGACAGCCCTTCATATTACTGCTTAAATAACTTTGTGTTGTTTCTGATTGTTTTTCTCCATTTTAGAGAAAACTAAAGAAGCAAAGAGGAGGAGGAGAGCACCATTTCCAGACATTTCACAAGACTGTTAAAGTTATTAATTACTCCCTCATGTCATTCCAAATCCCTAAGACCTTACTTCTCTTCAGAGTCAATTCATGACGTGTGTTAATGAGAGCTCTGTCCTGCACTGTATGTGTGTCGCACTGCTGACGTTTACCTCAGATGTGCCCACGCTTTGTTTAAATAAGAGGAAGTCGCGCAGGCCTCTGGGTTAAACATCAGCAGTGCGACACACATACAGTGCAGTACAGAACTTCTGTAGTCATTATTTCTGTTTTACTATTTCAGAAAACAAGTGAAAATATTTGAGATGAAAACTCTCTGATCCTCCATAAACCACAAAGATGAAGAAATGTTGAAATCACAGAAAACTTCATCAAACCATGAGAGCCCTGTCCTGCGCTGTATGTGTGTCGCACTGCTGACGTTTACCTCGGATGTGCCCACGCTTTGTTTAAAAGAGAGGAAGTCGCGCAGGCCTCTGGGTTAAACGTCAGCAGTGCGACACACATACAGTGCACTGTGCTCTTATGAACGTGTGGTTTGAGGGTCAGAGAGCTCTCAGATTTCATCTAAAATGTTCTCATTTGTGTTCTCAATATGAAGTAAACATGAATTTGAACTAATGACATGAGGCGAGTAATTAATGACAATAATGGTAATTAATGGTGCCTAGACTGCAGCTCTGCACAAGACGTTTGGCCAGAGGAGAAATGGTCGTGCCCAACTGAGCCTGGTTTCTCTCGAGGTTTTTTCCTTCACTTTAGTCAATTGGTGAAGTTTTGTTCCTCGCCACTGTCGCCGCTGGCTTGCTTGGTTTGGGACTTGTGGAGCTGCACATCGATGGATTTCCTCTTCAGTGTTTGGACTTTCAGCAGTGACAATTAAACCACACTGAACTGAACTGAACTGAACTGAACTTCAACTGTGAAATCTGGACTGACACAGTTTCAATTTACTTCTATGTTAAGCTGCTTTGACAGTCCACATTGTAAAAGCGCTATAGAAATGAAGATGAATTGAACTGAATTAATGCTAAAACTCCATTAGGAAGTCCAGTGCTGTCACAGTTTTCTCCTCTAAAGTGTCATCAAAGATCTGCTCAACTATTTTCTACCTCAAAAATGAATCTGGTGTTCTGTCATAAGAGAGAGAGATTGTTTTATAATTAAGTGTTCATAATTGTTTTGTAATAAATTGCTTTTATTTATTGTTAATAATTCTAATAAAGTCCTGTGAATCAAACTGAAGCTCTGATCATCATTTCTGTGACTTTTCTAAATGACTCCTTACTCAATTAAAGCGAGAGTTCTCCCTAAACTATTTACTCAAGCGCTTCCAAACCTTTGAGTTTCTTTCTTCTGTTGAACACTAAAGAAGATACTTTAAAGAAATCTGAAAATCTGTAACCACTGGCGTCTATAGTAGGAAAACAAATACAATGGAAGTCAATAGTTACAGGTTTCCAGCATTTTTCAAAAACCCTCTTTTGTGTAAATCAGAAGAAACTCATCGTAAGGGCAGAGTAAAAGATGACAGAAGATTCATTATTGGGTGAAGAAATCTCTTTACCAAATCAGTAGTGCCATACAGTATACTGTTTACTATGATTTAACACACATTTGTGGAACCTGTTTAGCCAAATGGAACCACAGAGAAGGTTTTACTGTTACACAATATGTTGTTTTATATTACAATATCATATACTGATACAACAAATATTTCCCCCCTGGTATAGTCAAGACTGCAGACTAACTTTTGAGACTCTAAATTGTTCAAATTTTGACAATCTCAGTTTAAAGCAACAGTTTAGACTCGAGTAACTGGACTGGGTTTGACAGCTTTCATGTATACGCCTCAGAGAAAAGTTTCTGTATACCTAAGGTCTACTTTTTAGATGCCAAGCAGATACACGGCATAGGTCAAAGATTGTTTTCATAGGTCAGACATTGGGAACACAAGCAGCTCTGGGTTCAGGCCTGTAAGAACAGTCTCATAATGACCTCAATGTGGTTCCCCCCACAGTCCAAACACATGCGCTATAGGTGAATTGAATAAACTAAATTGGCCATAGTGTATTTGTGTGAATGCAAGAGTGTGTGGGGGTTTCCCAGTGTTGGGTTGCGGCTGGAAGGGCATCTGCTGCGTAAAACATATGCTGGATAAATTAGCGGTTCATTCCCCTGATTAATAAATGGACTAAGCTGAAAAGAAAATGAATGAATGAATGAATGAATATGCTGTTCTAAACAGAAAGAAATTACCCTATTTAACAGCAAAAACTAAAAAAATGCAATAAAATGAGGTGTTAGTAAAATATTTAGGAATGAGCATTATATAATATTAAATATATATAAACAGCTCTTCATTAATGAATTACACTACATAATGTACTACAGGGATGGGCAGTATTTATGATACATGTATTTAAATACAGTACAGCACTTTGTAAATTGTATTATATGAGGTTTATGAAAATGGGTTAATATTTTGTATCAAAATACTTTAGTGTCTTGTATTTCTGTATTTTAAAATACTGTAAAATACTTTGTAAGAAGTCTACATGATGACATCATTAAAATGGGGCTTCAGATTGGAGCTTTCTCAGGTATTTTCCTGAGCTTGATATCTGAATAGAGAATTGATTAAGAAGGTGGTCTATGATAAAATTAAAATGTTTAATTAATATCAAATGGCAGCTTTACATTACAGAGATGCAGCATGCTACTAGTCCTGTGAAAAGAGAAGATTTTTGGGGTTAGTATGCTATAAAAAGTAATTGACCATAATGGCTGTAATCTCAAAGCGTGCCTTGTTCTGAGTGAAGCACAAAGCATCCTGTATTTGTTTTACTAGTTTAACATAAAACGAGAAATAAAAACGTGTCCAGCACCAAAAGCCTCCATAAATCAATACGTTTTAAATAGTTTTATATAATAAGTAAAATCCACTGATAATGATAATATTTTAGCGATAACATTTTAGCTCAAAGATGATTGTCATTATCAGTGAATTTTACTAATTTACAAGAGAGGCATAAAAAGGGAATTAAGGACATTATTATAATTATTACTGTTGTTATTGTTTTATTATACAGATGGCCAATGTCTGACTAGTGAGGTTATTGTGCCTGCCAGTTTGTTATTTGTCCAATAAATCATAAAACATTTTTCTTTCTCTTGTGGACTGATAATTTATGGACTATTTTAGCACAACCCTTCATATTTCTAATTCAATCTTTTATATTTGAAACACTAATGTCCACTTATTATTGACTGTGATATAAACTTTAATACACGTTTGTAAATACCTTGATAAATACATTTAATACATGTTTGTATGCTTTATTGGTAAAAGATAATGAATGTAACCTCTGGTGCTCCTCACGCAGCTGCAGTTTATACTGATATTTCTGATAGCAGGTTAATAATAATTGCTAAAGCTTTAATCACGGTATATGTCACTTTATCTGCTATGAATTTATTATCTGACAAAAACAGCAACTGAGTGGTAGAGCGCAACAAACTTGGCCGACCAGAGCGCCAACTTGTATCACCCCGCGCACCTCACCTTACTGATGACGAATAAATAGAACGAGAAGAATTCCATTACGTCACAGCCGACAGAATTCCTCAGAGTGACAAACGATCGAGTACAGTGAACAGTGATTTAATGACTTTAGCGACTTGTTTTGCATCTCAAACAGCAAATATTATGTCAACTGTGTTTTTTACTCGAGAAAATTTGATCACGCCTGTATTTGACAGCAATAATCATCAGAGTGACACGATGGCTTCTCCTACAACTTCTACCATGAAGAGAAGCCCAACAGGTGAGATGAGAGTTTACAAAAACGGTGTATTCCCACCTATTATTTAATAAAAACTATAATAATAATAATAATAATAATATATCGCCATATAACCTGCTTGCCGACGTAAGACGTAAATATTCAACCTCTTGTGATTGTAATTGTTTCGTGTAGTTATGATATTGTGTATTTTCTGACTTTGTGATTGAGGCCTGCTGTCTGTCATTTTATGTATTGACATTCTGGCTTTAAGTTTCTCCTTTCCACTCAACTGAAATTGTGCCTTGTTAATGTTACTGATAAAAAAACATTCTAATATTACTTTAATTTAAACTCTATGTGTAGACCTGCACAGTAATTTTCCTAGTTTTTGATGATGTGGAAAAATATATGAGCAAACTGAGTGAGAGTGTTATATTTAAGTCTTTCATTTGTTTAAGCAGGGATAAATTAATACAATTGAGGTAAAGTTGGTTTTATATTCACACATTCTGACTTTCTGCTTAAAATATAACAGAAATATTGTTTCAAATCGTAAATGGGGAAATCATCATAACACCCAATGACTATCATAGTACAACATTGTTTACAGTCAATTAAATAGTGCTTATGCGGATTTGAAGTCTTACTAACATGCTATTTCAGACCCAATATTCAAATTAGCATGGTAGCAACATAGAGACGGGTAAATTAACAAATGTGCTAATATATTGTTAAATAGCTCAAACTATAATAAAATATTCTATAACTCAGAATATTGACTCAAAAATGAGTCTTACTATTTATCAGGTTGTATTTGTCATTTTACATCATAGACATGATTTGCTATTTCACATAATTAAACATTTTCTATTATAATTGTACATTTATTCTTGATGTTTGTTTTGTGTGATTGTCTTTTATATGTCTAATTTTCAGCAGTTTGTCTATGGTAAACCTGTGGTTAAAGAATTTTCTAATACTTCCCTGTTCATTTCCTTTACTTTAGAAAACCCAGAGAAAAGGAGGAAAGGGAAAAGAGTCTCTGCTTTCTTTAAGAGAGCATGGAAGGCTGCAAAGCGC